AATCTCCCAATTTTTAAATGTTGACAACTAATTCAAAAATTTAAAAAACAAAACATTATGGGTCAAATACACATGTCTGTGGGCTGATTTGGTCAGAGGCTCCCGATTTGTAACCTCTGATAAAAAGAATTCATTTTCAAATTTGCTACATCTCTATTTTTTAAGGTTAAAAAAAATTAACTTACATGTTAAAAAAAAAAAATCAACTTTAGAGCCAGCCCTGATGGCCTAGTGGTTACAGTTCAGCCCTCTCACCTCTTTGGTGGCCCAGGGTTTGTTTCCTGGATGCAGAACCACACTGCTCGTCTGTCAGTAGCCATGCTGTGGTGGTGGCTCACATAGAAGAACTAAAAGGACTTACAACTAGGATACACAACTATGTACTGGGACTTGGAGAAAAAAAAGAAAAGAGAAAGACTGGCTACAGATGTTAGCTCAGGGTGAATCTTCCCCAGCAAAAAAAAAAAAAAAAAAAAAATCAACTTTATAGAAAAGTTTTGAGAATAGTACAATGAACTCCCATCTGCCATTCACCTGGATTCAATCTAATTCATCTTGATATCTCTGGACTTCAGGGCACAGAAGGCACTGAAATGTTGTGGAGTCACTGAATGAATGCCCTAAGGAAAAATAAGCAAAACATAGTGTGACAAATTCTTGTAAGCTAAAATGACATGGTGGAATGAGTGCTGAAAAATAATGAGAGAAAAGAAATGAATCTGAGAGAAGGATGGGAGCAAAGAAGGAAGGAAAACAGAACCAATACAGAGACTATATGGACCACACATTTATCTTGCCTGCTGAATGCTTGCTTTGTTTTACTTTATTGTTATTTTTCGCTTGGCTTAAAAAGACCAATCACCAGGATCCCAGGTAAATGCCATACAAGAACAGAAGAGACCAGCCACGCTGACAGTGAACTTTCAGCAAATTCAACTTACAAACTGTCACCCGTTTCGCAGTTTGGGACTATTTAGACAAGCTAGGCTAAATTTCATCTTGGCATTATTAATTCTTTGAGAAAGTTTGTTAAGCAAATGAACAGTATATTCAGGGGAAATGTTGAATATTTGCTCTGGGGGGAGCAAAAGCAAACGAACAGCTTTAAAATCCTTTCTAATTATATTGACGTGCTGAACTTTTGTCTAATTATTATGTTCCTCGAAAACTGAGTAGAAATATTTTAAAAGCACTGGAGGAAATTCGACTTTAAGCTAAAGGTGAACATTTTCATAGGCAGAAGACTCTCACATTGCCAATTTACCTTCGTGTAAATAAAAATGTCAAACGTTGGGTTTCCTTTTAAACAAAGAGTGAGCTAATTACCAAGATTATTATTTGGTAGAAAGCTTCATCAGATTCCCTCCTCCCTCTCTGGGAACAGTGTGGAGGAAGTCTGTCCATTTGCAGATAATTAGCTACCATACAGGAGTGCTTTTTATATGCCAGGCTTGGTGTTAAGTGTGTTCATGCATAATCTCACTGAATACACAACGATGGATTCACCAATGGACTACCAAGCAAAACAAGGTAAGCTTTGTTATCATTTCTGTTTTATTGACAGGAAAACTGAGGCTCAGAAAGGTCAGAGCACACGGCTGAGATTCAAATCCAGGGTTATATGGCCCCCAAACCCATAAGCATTACACCATGTTGCATTGCAGAGCCAGAGAGAACCTGCCCAAAGTCAAAGCCAATGGGCCAGGAAATATGTTGTGAAAAGCTATGGTGATTTGGACATGCAGAATAAACCAAACTACAATCCAATCTGGCAATACTTGGTAGATATTTAAGCTTTTGTGAGTTTAGGAAGTAAATACCTTTCTAATAAGGCCAGGCTTGGCTTATCTAGCTGGCTAGAATCACAATTCATCAAAGTATGCTTCACTTTACCCAAAAGATATATGCCTATAAAATTGCGTGTAAATCACAGTTTTAAAAATTGCAATGGAGAAAGGGATCCTTTAAATGCTAAATCTAATCTTAGGGCAAATATTTTCTTAAAGAGAACAAAGTTATCCTCTATTGGGCCATAACAATGCTCTAGGAGTGCTGAGATGATACCAATTAGAAGTGACCAAGCAGACTTCTTGAAAATGGTCTATAGCAATGTTTCTCAAAGTGTATTCCACAGATCCTGGGAGGAAGAGGGGTTCCCAAGGACAAAATCCTTTTCATCATAATACGAAGACTTTTTCACTGTGTTGATATTTGCACTGATGATGCAAAAGCGACAGTAGGCCTGAGTGGCTACAAGGCAGTGGCACCAAACTGTACTAGTGGTCATTATATTCTTTACTGCCATGTACGCACAAGAAAACAAACAAAAAATCATTTTCACTTAAGAAGGTCCTGATGAAACAGTAAAAATTAATTTTACTAAATCTCAGCCCGTGAGTACGCATCTTCCTAATACTCTGTGTGAAAAAATGGGAAGTTCACTTAAAGCCCTTCTGCAACAAGACAGAGCACAATGGGTGATCCTAGAAAACACCTGTGGGATTGTTTTGAGTTGCCAGCTGAACTAGCCACATATTGTACAGAATGTCATTTTTACTTGAATAAACAACTATTAGACAAACTATAGTTATTCAGACTTCGGTATTTGGCAGACATTTTCTCAAATATGAAAGAAGTGAGCCTTTCACTTCAAGGAAGCAACTGGCAGTATTTGTTGCCAATGATAAAATTCAAGCTTTCAAGTGAAAACTCGTTTTCTACTTGTTTCCACTACCTGGAGTTTAATAGCTTTCTAATATTTAAACTCTTTTTTAAAAATGAGACAGGTGGTGATATTAATGAATATGGTTTCATTGATATTGTGTCATGACATGCCATTTGATACTGTGTAATGAAACTTTCAATTTCATAGATTGCATAGAAGATTTGCATAACTCAGTGAACTAACATTTTCCAAATGACCAATGCCTAATGTTATAAAATCATACATGGGTAAAATATCCAATCAAAGGGCAGGATAGACCAATGGATTTTAAGGTAACAGAGTTCAAAAGTTCACTAATATGGTTTCAGATGCCACATTGTGACTAACCTTCAAGAAACTACCACTCGCTAAGTTTTGGTATAGTATCAAAGAAGAATGTCTACAGTTATCTGAAAAGGCAATTAAAATACTCCTTGTTCCAACTATATATCCGTGTAAGGCCCAATTTTCTTCACATACATCAGCCAAAATAACAATACAACAGTTTGGTTGTTGAAGCAGAAATGAGAGTCTAGCTATTTTCTATTAAACCAGATATCGAAGAGATTTGAGAAAATGTAAAACAAAGCCACTCTTCCTACTAATTTTTTTGGGGGAGGAATATAACTGTTTTTCATTAAAAGTATTATTTATGTTCAGAAATAATGGGCTTATTTTTATTTTTAAATGAATTGATAAATGAATGTTTTACGATTTTCTCAGCTTTAATTTCTGATAGGTAAATAGCACAGATATAACAGACATAAACAAACCTCTTTTGATGTAAGAGCGTAAAAGCGTCCTGAGACCAAAAAGATTTGACAACTGTTGCTCTATGGCACCATTACCTTGACCTTTCCACAGGGCCAAGTGGCAAATGACATTTTATGGTACCTCTGAAGTACAAAGGGCAAAGATGTCTTTTAAGCAAGTAACAGATTGTTCAATTAAAAAATTTTTTTTCCACACTGTATTCAGTGGATATTACAAAGGAACAAATTCCCCAGAAGTGAGGGACAGTGGTGAAATGAGAAAAATGATCTGGATTCTGGCACAGACCCTACCAGTCTCTCTAGACATTAGTCTTCCCCTCTAGGGAATGAGATGTCAGAGTAGCCTATTTTTAGATTGCTTCCAATTGTCAATTCCATGATTCTAACCAGGGACCCCTAAATGGTGGCCCACAGGCTGCACCTGGCCTGCAGACTGATTGGCCATCTTGGTATTTTGAGAAGTGCCCCAGGAAAATAAACGGTTATTGCTGACTGAGAAGCTTCTCTTCCTGAAGGGGAATTGATCTTCAGTCACAGCCCAATCCAGCCCACTAGACTTGCCCCTGCAGAGATCTGCAACCTGTGGAATGAAGGGCCTTAAAACCTCTTCCAAATCTCAAATTCCACAATTCAGCTCCAGAGACAGAGTGTCTGGGTTCCTTACTCACTCTGCCACTTGCTGGCTGTTTGATTTGGGGCAAGTTACTTAACTTCTCTGAGCCTCAGTTTCCTCATTTGTAAAATGGGATAACAACACTGACCTCAAAGGGCTGTTAGGAAGCTTAACGAGGTGTTGCTTGACAGCATTAGAGTTCCTGGCACGGAACAGTACTAATTATTAACATCAAAGCACAGAAAGACAGTATTCCCTGGTCTCCCCCACTCCCCTCCCCAAGTCCCATTTCCCAGTAGCTGATGACCGCACTCCCCATGATGACGCTTACCCCCATACCAACTCCCATATCCCACCAGTGCCACATCCCAAGACACACAAGACCCTCCTCACATCTCTACCTCTCCTTTCCCACCCTAAACCCCTTCACTGAGCCCCCGGCCAGTACCGGGTTCCTACACGACCACAGCTCGGCACCGTGGCCAAACCACTGACCACTCCCCCCAGCCTCTTCTCCCTATAGTGGACCACTAAGGCTCCCTTTTCCTCAGACTGGACACCACCTCGGGTCAGGCAGTGGTGGTCCAGGGGTCTGTGGCCTAGGATTCTGCCCGGAGGGGCCTCAAGAGGGATGAGAGAATAACCGCCCGACCTCCCGGAGGGGCCCACAGACACTCACCGTCCATCCCTAGAGGCGGCGGTTCCGGGTGTTCGAACCGGAAGCGGCCCCTACACTGTTTGCAGTTCCCCTGGTTACTGCGGGGTTCCGGACCAATGGCTGTGGAGCTCCACGGACTGAGCCCGCCCCCAAAGGGCGATACGTCACGCCGGCACGCTGGAACTCCTCCTCCAATCTCCGGGTCCGACCCGCCTCCCTGGGCTGCCGATCGTTGTGCGCAGGCGCGCTGGGCCGGGGCCGTGGGCGGCGTGGCGCGCAGGCGCTCCGGGCGCCGCCAACTGAAGTGGTCATGGACGCCTTGGAGTCGTTGTTGGACGAGGTGGCTCTGGAGGGGCTTGATGGCCTGTGTCTGCCCGCACTGTGGAGCCGTCTGGAGACGCGGGTGCCGCCCTTCCCGCTGCCTTTGGAGCCCCACACGCAGGAGTTTTTGTGGCGGGCCCTTGCCACGCACCCGGGCATCAGCTTCTATGAGGAGCCTCGGGAGCGACCCGACCTCCAGCTCCAGGACCGGTCAGCGGCCCGGCCCTGCGGGCGGGAGGGCGGGCGGGCGCAACGTCCGGGGTCTGCTGGAGCCTGGAGGAGGGGACCAGGTTCTGACGGGAGGGGCCAGGGAAAGGAGTGGAGCCGAGGGAGGCCCGGGAGTCTGATGGGCGGCGCAGTGTAAGGCTGATTTGGGGTCCCTCTGGCCTGGCAGAGCCCCGGCGTCTAATGGAGTTGGGGGTCATCTGGTTATGTCACATTAAGTCCGTGTGTGTGTTTGGGGTGGTTGTGAGCAGGACTGGGGGGATATTCTTCGCGCTTCAAAGAATATTTCCTTTAAAGTAGAGGATACGATTAGAGCAGGAAGGCAGTTGAGATCAAAACTGGAGACGGTTGAGTTCATCAGACCTTTATGGAGCATTCATTCAGTGCCAGACTAGAGAGCCTAACGCAACTGGAGATCTACCTAACAGCAAGTTTGGCAATAATAGTAATAGCTAGCATTTATTGAGTGCTTATTATTGGCCTGGTACTAGTCTAAGATCCTGTTCTGAGAGCTTCAGGAGGTTGAACTCACTTGATCCTCACTCACAGTCACCCTATGAGGTGGGTGCTGTTATCCTCCCCATTTTGCAAAGGAAGAAACGGAGTCACAGAGAGATTAAGTAAACTGTCCAAAGTTATAGAGATTGTAAGTGACTGAGTGTTGATTTGAACCCAGGCCATCTGTCTCCAGCATCTGGAGCCATATTGTGAGGAAGAGGAGAGGTTCCCAGAGGTAACGGTGTCCAAAACAAGACTTAAAGTTTGGATTTAGGTGGCCAGTTGGCAGAGTATTCTGGACAAAGAACAGCAAATGTGAAAGCTTGAAGGAAGAGAAATAAGTTTAGTTGAAGTGTAGAATTGGAGGTAGAGAATGACGAATAGTAGTCGACGCTTGTATATATGCTTATTGTGAGCTGGGACTGTTCTAAGATCCTGACGTATAGCAAGTTATTTAATTTTTACGACAACCTTAGGAGATGGGTATTATCCCCATTTTCCTGAAGAGAAAATTGAGGCACAGACGTTGGCTTGTTCCAGATCATCAGCTAGCAAGGGCAGAACCCAGAATTTGAATCCAGGAAGTCTAAGTACAAATCCACCCTGCCCTTAACCAAATTGGACTGGTGAGGTAATCAGTGGTGTTTTAATCCATCGAGTGGGGGCAAAGAGTGAAGTTGAGAGATTTGTAGTAATCTGGTCACAAACAACCAGTTATGGTTTGGCTTACCATAGTGGGGATAAGAATGAAGAGGAGGAGCAAATGGAATCAAGACAAGAGGCAGAAGAATCAAGAGGATTTTGTGACTGATTGGATGTGGGATATAAGGAAAGGTAGGAACCAGGATGATGCCCTTCGGTTCCTCATGTTTGGGCACCTGAGTGAATACTGATGCCCTTCACTGTAGTAGGGAACACAAGAGCAGCACGGTGGTTGAGTCTGGGGGGAGTTGGGGAAGGCGCTGAATGTACTTTGAGACACACTGAGTTCAAGTTTCCTTGTAGTTATGCAAGTGGAGATTCTGTTTAGTAAACATCTGGTTTCATGGAAGAGAACGCAGGCCAGAGTGAGGGACTGAACTAGACATGTGGAGTCATCCCATATGGTTGGTAATTAAAGCTGTTGGCTAGGATCATCCCTGAGAGTGTAGTGTGATTGGAAGCCTTAGACATGGCCCTACATGTAAAGGCGGGATAGAGAACCAAGAGCCTTCTAAAGAAGACCGGGGAGGTATGGCTGGAGAGGTAGAGGACAGAAGTCCAGAGTGGTGACCTGGAAGCTGGAGGAAGATGTGATTTGAGAATGGAGGGTTAAGTAGTACAGAGGTCACAGAAAGAACAAGGAAGAAAGGGGTTGAAAAGTGTATATGGGATTTATCGTCAACTAGACGAGAGCAGGATGTGAGCAAGATTTGTAAGGAAACTTGACAAACTTGGCTGACTGGATAGAAGAAGAAACACAAGTCCAAGATGTCGCCATGGAGTTGATAGGAGGCAACTGGGAGAATGTGGTACCAAGGAAGCGCAAGGAGGGCCTTTATTGGAGGTGGGGAGAGGCAGTCATACTTTGGTTTTGATCTCATGGAATTTGAGGTGTTTGGTGGACAACTGAAGACATAGGATTGGTGTTTGGGGAGAAAGACAGGACTGAGGATTCAAAGGTGAGATGCAGACACCAGATTTGGAGGGAAACCAGAAGGCCATGACTTGGGCCAGTAAGGTGGTTCTGGTTCCAGCATTCAGCTTCTGGGGTGGATTTGGGGGATCCTGGAAAGGTCTCTGTTCTCTGGGATGGAGAGGCAGGAACCCTGCTTGTCAAGATGATCTGCACCTGTAAGGCAGGACTGAGTGATCTCACTCCTTTTCTCTGATCTCCGCCAGAGGTTGTCAGAAGAACACGTCAAGCGTGCATTATTTCTGAAGCTGAGTTGTGGTTTGATATTTGTGCTTTCTCCCTTAGGTATGAAGAAATCGATTTGGAAACTGGAATTTTGGAGTCCAGGAGGGACCCGGTCCCTTTGGAGGATGTCTACCCCATTCATATGATCTTAGAGAATAAGGATGGCATCCAGGGCTCATGCCGGTATTTTAAGGAGAGGAAAAACATCACCAATGACATCAGGACCAAGTCTTTGCAGCCCCGTTGTACAATGGTGGAAGCCTTTGGCAGGTAACTGATTTGCACCATCAGACACTCATGGGTATCTTCCTGCTTAGAAGTCAGGGGTGTAGTCAGAGCATCAGGACTGGTCCGCAGCCTCAGTGTCTGTCAGAGTGCATCAGCCATGCGCTAAGCCAGTCCTCTACCTTCTTCCCTCCACTCCTGTTGGGGCTAATTTGCTTGGGAGCCTGCTTTCTCTTTCCTTTGTGTCCAGTCCTAGCACAGTGGGGCAGAGCAGGCAGCCGTTATTTGGATTGGTGCCTTTTGTTCTCTTGTCCAAGCTGGGCCCTATGCTGCCCAGCAGTCCTTTTGTGAGTCTTCAGTCAGTGTCCCAATTTCCCAGAAGGTCTCAAGCCCCTGCCCCCATTCCCACCTGCATTCCCACTTTACAGAGCAGGGAGAAGCTACCCGAGTGAACTCTCCTGACTTCCACCTTCTTCCTCAACATGCAGACTTTTCCACATTTCTTTCCCCCTCCCTCATCGCAGAGGAGACAAGAAACAGTGGCCCTGTCTAGGGCTGTGCTCTGGATGCTTCTCTTCCTCCTTTTCTCCCCTCCTCCCCAGCCCAGCTCCCACCCCTGTCGGTTAGCTCGTCTTTCTCCTTTATTTTCAATTTCTGCCTGTCTACTGGTGGTTTCTCCTCTGTGCATTAGTGTGACTCACCCGTCTGACAACAGGACCTTCTCTGGACCTTGGATCCCCTGTAACTATAGCTTTCTCTCTGTTGCTGCAGCCATGCTTCTTGGAAGAAATAGCTATACTCACTCTTTCTCCCTCTTCACCTCCCGTCCACTCCTCTGCCCAGTGCAGTCCTGATTTCTGCCTTTATCAATTCACCAAAGTCTCCTCCTCTACAATCCCTATTAACACGCCTGTGGACACTGTTAGGCCCTTCATTTCCTTGACCCCTCTACACTGTTAGGGACTCTTGAAGCTTTTGTCCCTATGGCTTCCCGCTTTGTTTTTCTGTTCTCCTAGCTGATCCTCACCAGCTCCTTTGTGGACTTCCCCACTTCCTTCCACCTCTTAAATGTTGGCTGCTCCCAAGGGCTCTGTCTAGTCCCCAGACCCCCTCCCAAGGGCCATGTGTGATATTTTAATAACCTCCCCCGCTCTTATTCAGTGTGCCCAGAAGTTAGAGCGTCACTCTCCCACCCTAAACCTGCCTTCTCTTCCTTTTCTTTTCTTCTTTTGTTTCTTTATCTGGTAAGAGGTATTCCCATGCCCCTGGCTCTAAAAGCCATGAACTTGGGACTCTTCCTAGGCCCCTTCTCTCCCTGACTTCTGCGTTCAATTGGCCACCAAGTCCTGTGGACTTGAGCTTCTAACTTTTTCTTAAACCCGCTTTGGCCTGGAATTAATATATTACTTTCCTGACTGCCCCCCTTCTTGCTGTCTCTCCTATTTCTAACTTTCCACGCTACACGGAGGGTTTTTTTCTCAGATGGAATTGTGATGGAAGGTGCCCTGGTCCCTCAGGGCAGAGGTTTCAAACTCACCACATCTGCCCTACAGACACACTTTGTTTAACCAGCATGGTGTTTTGTTTGCTTTTAATTTTGGTCATTGCTACTATTTGAAAATCTGGATTTCTAGCTTCTCTTGAAACATCACAAGGTCTAGCAGCACTGGGACCAAATTTTTACTAGGTGATGTAGGTTGGAGCCATGAGCTATGTCCCGCCCTGCTGACTGTGGCCCCTCAGGCTCTTCAGGACCTGGCCTCTGCCCACCCAGCTCTCTGGCCTCAGCCCCCTCAACTTGCCTAACTACACTATGCGCTGGCTTGAACGTGTTGGTCTCGTTTCTGTCTCAGGGCAATGACACCTGCTCTTCCTTCTGCTTAGAATGTTCTGCCTCAGCTCTTCACGTCTCCACCTCCTTCTCTTCATCCAGCCTTCAACTTGGCTCCTCAAAAAGTGTTCCCTGTTGCCCAGGCACCATCATATTACTCTTTTCGGTACAAAAATGATCTTAAGTATTTTTTTTTTTTTTAAAGATTTTATTTATTCATTTTTTTCCCCCCAAAGCCCCAGCAGATAGTTGTATGTCATAGGTTCACATCCTTCTAGTTGCTGTACGTGGGACTCGGCCTCGCGCTGGACGGAGAAGTGGTGCCTTGGGGCGCGCCCGGGATCCGAACCCAGGCCGCCAGCATCAGAGCGCGCGCACTTAACCGCTAAGCCACAGAGCCGGCCCTGATCTTAAGTATTTATTTATGTCACTCTTTCCTCACCAGACTGTAAACTCCTTGAGGACAGGAGATCTGTCTGTTTTGTTCATAGCTGTACCTCTAGGATCTGCAATGTGCCTGGCACAAAGTCGGCTCCTAAAAATGCATGTTGACTGGTTGACTGTACTGTTGGGTTTGCAGTTGTAACCCCCAACCTATGTCATGGAGTCTAAACTTCCCAGCATGGCATCACAAGGCCATTCAGGATGTGGGCTCTCCCTGACCCCTTGGGCTTTTCTTCCTTCTGCTTCCTAGTTTGCTACCACACACCAGACTTCCTGGCTGTGCCACACCACTCGCCCCCCAGAGCAGGCATGCTGCTTCAAGCACCTGGAACCTTACAGGTTCTGCCTCCTTGCCCTGCCCCCCTTCTCCCATCCAGCTTACTGTTAGCTCAAGAATCACCTCCCGTGAGAGTTTTCCCTAATTACTATGCACAGGCTCTAGTCACACATATAGGCTTGAATTGGGTCTCCTCATATGTGTCATTTCATGGCCTCGGCCACCAGAGCTGTTCTCTGTCAGATCAGTTAGTGAACCACAGCATAATTGTTTGTTTTCTTGTCTTTCTCTTTTGGTAGACCATGAGCTTCTTGAAGGTATACACCATTTTTATTTATCTTGGTATCTCTGATACTTGGTGTAGTGCTTAATCGGTACTTGAGAACCTGTCTGATGACCACAGTCAACAGATTAGGCCTAGCAGGAGTCATTGAGTCAGCTAATTGGAAACCTTGGAGTTATGATAGTACAAGGTAGTAAATGAATCTGAGTAAATTTAAAAAGCAGCAAACCAGTTCCTCTTTTTTCAAACTTTCTTTTCCCAACTGACCTCTTCCAATTTAACTTAATGAGCTGTTTTGAGACAGGAGAGCATAGGTCCTAAGTTTCTGACCTGCAGACACAGAAAGTAGACTGACTCTCTTTCACAGGTATTCACAACCTAACGTTCTTTTTGAAGATGGTTTATACACACTTCTGTGACTCTGCGGAAGACTAATTATAGGTCAAAAACAATGTGAAGGAAGCTGCAGTTAAGTTAAAAGGAAGACAACCTCTTCTTTTTTCTTTTTGCCTATTTGGTGGGAGAAGCCAAGACATCTGAGTGGGGTAGGAGGAAGGAGAACAGTCCGACTGAGTGTTGTGACTGAAGACAGACCTCGTGCCAGGTGTCTATAAACAACAGGCTGGGAAGAGGAGATGCTGGCTCAAGGTGGGAGGGGTTGGACCGTGGGTAACTCGTTCATCCGAGAAAAGGAGCTCTTCCGAGTGGGTGTATCTCGATGCCAAGGAGTGAGTGAGTGAGTGATGGGTTCTCTGCCAGCACACCCTCGTGGGATCTCTGCTGCAGGGCTTGGACCCTGAGAGTGTGTGAATGGAGTGGGCCGATCTGCCCGAGGTGTCCATTTAAGTTAGCAGGCAAGGCACTGCGGGGGAGTCTCAGTCTTAAGTGGTGCAGACTATTAGTCCTCAGCAGGAAGATCAGTATTCTCAGCCAGGGTGTCTTGAAGTGCCTTACTGGGAAGTGTCCTTGGCCTTTTTTCAGGCATTATTTTTCGCACACCAAGTCAGTAGGAGGAACTAATGATTTGCCCGAGGCCTGGTCTTCGACAGGCTGCAGGCCCACTGATTACACAGTTCAGTGCTTTTGACTCCGAAGTTTATTTGTCCAGTTCAGTAGGCCAGTTCATTCACTTAACAAATGTTTACAGAGCCCTTACTGTGCACCAAAATTATTCTAGGCACTGAGGATGTCCTGGTGAACAAGTCGATGATGTGCCCCCTCTTACGGGGCTGGTATTTGAAGAGGGGAGACAGACAGGAATGTCTACAAAAAATTATGGCCATTTCAGAGAGTGCTACGTCTGTGAGGAATATGCTCATAGGTGGGGAAGGGACTCTGGTTAGTATTTGTGGGAAGGCCTGAGGAGTTGATGTCTGAGCAGTGACCTGAAGGATGAGAAGGAATCTGTCACCTGAAGCCCTGGGGGCAGAGCAGCTGGGCAGAGGAAACAGCTTGTCTCAGGACCAGCAGGGCCGTCATGGGTCGGGGCAGAGTCCTGGAAGGTATGTAGGACATTCCAGGCGCTGCTGGGGCGTTTGGGTTCTGGGGTGAGTAGCCTGGCGAGGCCTGGGAGCGCTTTAAGCAAAGAAATGATGAAATGGGCTCTCTTCACCCTGAGCACCGTGCAGTTCTAAGACTGAAACCTCCTTAATGGGGGGACTTTTAACCTCTCAGAAGCAGCAGAAAATGATGATTCTCCAAGGTTCTGCTTTTTCATATTTCTATTTTCTTAAAATCAGTTGAAGTTTCTTCTTCGTGTGGTTGTTTCTGATTTGCAGGTGGGGGAAGAAGCTGATCATTGTTGCCTCCCAGGACATGCGGTATCGGGCCTTGATAGGCTTGGAGGGTGACCCCGACCTGAAGCTCCCCGACTTCTCCTACTGCATTTTGGAGCGATTAGGCCGGTCCCGGTGGCAAGGAGAGCTCCAGCGAGACCTCCACAGCACTGCTTTCAAGTAAGGGGATTATTTGCTTCTCTGCTTTAAATGATAGGGCTCCCTGATCATTGTGCCCTGCCCGCAGACACAGGGGTCTGCTGGCTTGGCTTTCCCGTTCCTCTCATCCCTGCCGCCTAGGAGGCCACAATCCATGGTGATTGGGAGTGCAATGCTTTCTTTTTGAGGAGACCCTTGGGTGCCTCTATCATTTCTTGTCCAAACCAGACATTTGAGAGTGGAAGGTGGAGCTGACCAGAAGGGGTGCCGAGGCAATGGGCATAAATCGGGACCACCTGGCAAAGCAGGGTGTATGGTCACCCTGGTTATTGGCCACAGCAGGATTAGAGATCCATATCTGATCACCTCCTCTTTAACCCCTGTTGTCTCCCACCCAAGCCATCCCTTCCCACTCCACTTCCCGTACCTCTCCCTCGTTTCCCCCTCTGCCTCTCCTGGAGGCCTGGGGCGTGCTCTTAGGCTGAGGCACGGCTGCTCCTTCCAAGGCTGTTGTCTCATAGCGACCGCTCTCTGAGATTGGCTGGATAGGAGGTGTGTGTCTCTGGTATTTATGTCCAGGTGAGAGGCTCTTCACATTGTGGGGTGAGAGCAACCAGCAAAGCCAAATGACAGCCCACTCTTCCTTTTCTGCAGGGTTGATGCTGGGAAGCTCCACTATCATAGGAAAATTTTGAACAAAAACGGGCTCATTACGATGCAGTCACACGTGATCCGATTACCCACTGGGGCACAGCAGCACTCCATCCTCCTCCTCCTGAACCGGTTTCATGCGGACAGGTACAGTGTGCAGAGATCAGAACACTTTATTACGTCTGTGTTTCAGCCATGTGTGTTATGCCTTTAAAAGTCATAGAGGCCAAATCAGAATATGACGATAGCTTTTTTAAAAAAATACTTTCTGTCTATTTCTGATTATGAAAATAAGTCATGCTTATTTAGAAAATCTGGAAATTATACAGAAAAGAAGGGCAAAAATACCTATAACTGCAGCACAGCAATAGAGACTGTTAACATTTTGGTGAAAGCTAGGAAGAGTGTGAAAATAAAAGTAAATAAGTCAAATTTGATTTTTTATGGTGACCGAGTTGAGATGGAGTTGTATCAATTTAAAATTGGCATGTGTTTCCAACATGTAACCATCATAATCAATCTATATGGTTGAGATGGTGAAGTTGTGCTAAAAGATTACTGTGCATGATGTTGCTATTTAGCTGTGTATTGTAGTCCAAACAATATAGCAAGGTGGTGAAATATGCACATTCCCTTCTGAGGACCAGGGAATCTCTGGGAGTGAGTCTCTGACTCGAATCCTCCCTGTGGGAGTGACTAATTACCTGGCATAGGAATGGGGGAAAGAAATGACCCACCACCCTACAGAGAGGTCTCAGCCTGCACTTCACACTCCATGTCCTCCTTTGTGGGAGGGGCAGAGACCAGGGTGGGGAAGAGTTGAGCTGGTGCAGAGCCTAAGATAAATGACCCTCAGGTGAGTAAGGTGGGAGGCCCCCCCAGTGCCTGCCCCACAGTGCTGTGTGGTGGAGGTGGAGAGTTGAGAGGCAGAGAGCAGACCCTTTCCCTGGACCAGTGGGAACAGCTTGGCAGTTCTCCCCTGGTCGAGTGACAGAGGCCTTGCTCTTTACGCAGTGGCCAGGCACTCCCTCCAAAAGGGAGGTGGGCTGAACACTCAGGATTAAGTGTAAGTTTTAAAGTTTACGGTGCCCACTACATAGCACAGGGCTTGGCCCAAAGAAAGTCCTTGATATACTTGTGTAGACTGACTGTTGACTAAGGATTTCCAGGAGTGAAAATGTCACTGTACTCCTGTCAAATCTCCAAATTTGTCTTCAAAGCTATGTTTCAGAAATACTACGTTAGAATGATGCTTCAAGAATTTGCATTTTAATTATTTAGTCATACTGTCGATTGATTAAATACCTTTACACCAAACTCATGACTGGTGTGTAGCCTGTGGTCTACAAAAAACATAAGGTAGCAGCTGTGGGTAGGAGAGAGAACAATGGACCAAGTCAAGATCTGTATTTAAATTTTTGCCCCTTACGTGAGCAAAGTCACTTGACCTTTCTGAACCACTGTCTCCTCCTCTATAAAAGGGCCATAGAGGCCGGCCCGGTGGCATAATGGTTAAGTTTGTGTGCTCTGCTTTGGTGGCCTGGGGTTTGCGGGTTGAGATCTTGGGCTCAGACCTACACACCGCTCATCAAGCCATACTGTGGCAGCGTCCCACACACAAAACAGAGGAGGATTGGCACAGATGTTAGCTCAGGGGCAGTCTTCCTCAAGCAAAAAAAGAGGGATAGGCAACAGATGTTAGCTCAGAGCCAATCTTCCTCACCAAAAAAAATAAATAAATAATGCTAATAGATAAAATAAATTAGGAAATTTGACTTTAAAAAAATTAATTAAATAAATAAATAAATGGCCATGACACAGCTTGGTACTTGGTACTAGGTCCTACACGGTAAATACCTGTGCCTTCATTTATTCTTTCATGCGTTGAGAGGTGGTAAAAATGGAGAAGTGGTAAAAATGAAGAAGTGGGTGCAGTCTCTGGATCCCATACATATGCCCTCCCTGCCCCTAGGCCTGTGCGCAGTTAAAGCCAGGTTCGCCTTCCCCAGCCGCACTGGCAACAAGGCTCCTCCCTGCGTCCCTCCCCCAGTTTCCCCCAGGCACACACAGTCAAGGGGCCATTTGCTCTCTTTAGTAGCTTCCTTGGGGGGCCATTAGCTTGGAAGCATTTGTTATGATATCCATTTCACAATAAAAATGAGATGGAAGGTGGGATTGATCACACCAGTGAAGTCAGAGTAGAGACCAGGGCTTCAGAAGCAGAGGCATCATGACATAGTGAAGAGAGCACTGGATTCAGAAGACTCAGGTTCACGTCTTGACCTGAGTTTTAGAGAAGCCTATTAACTTCTTTATGAAACAGTCCCCATCCTTCTTCACCAGTGGTTTATAAGGAAATATATAAGGTGCTTCCTAAACTTTAAGGTGTTATAAAAATGTAAGGCATTTTAAAGAATCATTAAAGTTTTAGCCAGAGTCTAGTCTGTACACTGCCACTCGTCAGATGCCCTTGGCTGTATGATGGAATGCTCAGAGGCGCAGTGTCCTGGCGGTAAGGTGCAGGAGTTGGGCTGGACAATCTCTGAGACCTAAGACCAAGGTTCTGTAGCTTGATGTTGTCATTTAAGTCTTACCTTGTCATCTTTGAAAAACAGGCGACTGCAATAGGTTTGAAAAAATGAACTCTTGTGTATTTCTCACAGGAGGAGCAAATACGACATCCTCATGGAGAAGCTTTCTGTGGTGCTGAGCACACGGAGTAACCAGATCGAGACACTGGGAAAGCTGAGGGAAGAACTGGTGAGCTGCCGGGGCTTCCCCTGTGCAGGGCTGAGCTGATCTGTACCACAGCGTGGAGATCTTGGTCAAGGGCAGATTAAATTAATTGCAATTGAAAGCCCTTTATGGACTTGACTATCCCTAACCATGAAACAAGGGGGATTTTCCTTTGTTTTACAGAATGAGAAAGTGCTCAGTCCTTAATTTAAATCCTTCTTGCTCTTGACTGCCTTCCACTGTCCTCTGGCGTTTGCTCTAGGACCTGCTATAAAAGTTCATGTGGAATACTTTTGTAATCGAGCTTGTAATTTTGTTCCCACTGGTTTTATACTGAAATGACAGGGACTGCACTGAGAAGGAGGTGAGACAACATAGAGAGAAAAACAATTATTGACCTGCTTCGTTTTTGGGCCCAGGAATAGGGCAGTGATGCAGTGAGCATGACAGGAAGAAAGCATGGAGGTGGCGCTGCTTCCAGTCTGAGCTGAACAGTCTTCAGGGGAAGTTAGGAGAGAGCCAACGTTGGAAATGGGAGCAAAGTAAAACTGCCCTGTAGGTTAAAGTAGAAATTAAACCTTAAAATTTAAAGTTAAGCGTTTTGGATAATAGTAATTTGTCCCCAGAGGAATGTGGTTTAGAGTCTGATTGTAGACACCAGAATAATCCTTGTTGCCCCTCACCCTGTGCTGCATCTGATTTCGTTGTGCAGAGGGGAAGGAGTCTCTTCCCTATTGCTAGATTCGTTGCATGCCCAAGTCTCTTTAAAGCAGAGGTTACAAACCGAGGCTTTTGGGTCAGGTTTAGCCTGTATATTGTTAATAAATTTGACCCAGCATTTTTTACAATTTGAGATTCACATAAAAACCTAGGTTTCCAGCTTCCCTTGAAATATCAGAAGCTCTGGCAAGCCTGGGCCTGTAGTCTCTCATGACAACAGTTAGCTGGAGATAGCTGTGCACTGGCCAGCTCCCCCCAGACCCCTTACTTCTGTCACCTCTCAGACACTGAGGCAGAGGGTCAGTGCCGTTTGTTATTACGTGGGCACTGCTGTAGAAGAGAAATATTTATCTGAGTCTTTATCAAAAGTAGAAAATAAAAGGTTTGCTGATACGACCTCTTCTTGAGAGACCGTAGTAGAAATGAAGAAAATTCCTACATGTTAGATAAACAGATATCTGCCTACTTTGTTCTTATATTGCCTGTCAAGCCCATGCAGACATTGGAGATTGAAACCCTCCACCCTACTGAGTCACTCAGGCGTGGGAACACCATGCTGGCCTGGTCTCATATCAGCACTGTGGACTAGCTAAGGAATAAGATTTGACTGTTACAGGACACTGTTTTGTTTATTTATTCAACAAATACTTTAATGAGCGTCTAGTTTGAGTCAGAACTGTGTTCCGCACTACAATGCCAAAAATTAATGAAGGTGACAAGTCTCGTGCTGTCGTGGAGCCATCTAATTGGAGGGGCAAACGTTTGTGTGAACACACTTAGGCTAGACTGCTACTTAGAGGATGTGTCTGAGCTCCGTGAAGGGAGAGATGGTGCTTTCTTCAGAGAGCTGGGAAAAGCTTTATAGAGCAAGTTACTGTTGAGCTGGGCTTTGAAGAGTAAGTGTGCCTGGGGCAGACAGAGGAGAGAAGGCATTTCAGGCAAAGGAGAATGGCTTGAGCAAAGGCATGGAGTCATAGGAGTCCATGGGACGCTTTAGAGGTCGGCAGTAGTCCTGCAGGCAGTGTGCTTGGGCGGGAGTGGTAAGAAATGTGGATGCAAAAAAAGGTGAGCCAGATACGAATGGTCTTGAGTGCCAGGCTGAGGAGTTGGGACTTTAGTCTTTAGCCAGAGTTACAAGAAGAGAAGAATGTTTAGGAAATGAACTGGTGGACGGAAGAGAGAGATTGGAGGTGGGGCAGCAGGGTGGGTGCTCCTGCCTCAGGCTGGGTAGGTGACCACCGGGGCTTGAATTGTTTGAGCTCTTTTGGAGGTGACACTGGCAGGACTTGGTGAGTGACTGAAGCCAGGCCGTAGAGGTGAAAGGAGAAGGGGTCTTGTCATCTGGCTCGAGTGATTGCCCCTCCCTGAAGTGGACTGAGCTTGAGGGCAGGCTCCTGAGAGCAAGCACTGCCAAACCCCCACCACGAGGACAGTGCCTGGCCCACGGTGGACGCTCAGTCAATATTTGTGAATGGATATGTGACTGAAGGAGAGAGTACAGAAAGAGGAACAAGTCTGGGTGAGGACGAGGCACACGACAAATCTGATTTTAGGATTTATTGAGTATGAAGATCTTCTGGGACGTTCAGTTGGCAGCTGGAAATAGGAGCGGAGAGACTGAGCAGGATTTGGTGAATAATTAGCCTATAGATGAGGCTGATGCCGTGAATACAGATGCTGTCTTTTTTGAGGAGGGGGGTCTCCTATTGCTTCTTTCTCTTATTGCTGGGCAGATTGTGCGAGTCTTTGATGGCAGCCCCCCAGAAGGAAGGACTACATCCTCCTCCCCTGCTTAGGTTGGTCCAGGGCTTAGGACCATATGTTGAGGGGCTTGATGGATGAGTTTCCAGAGGGTCTTTCCGTGATCCTGGGGTATGGCTAGATTAACCATAGATGCTATTTACAAGCCAGTGGGTTTGAATGTGCAGTATGTGAGTCATCTGTATTTCTATGATAGCCGTATGTTCTGTTGCCCAGTGGCTAGAGTGCTGGCTAGTCTGAGAGCTGATCACACATACGTGGCAGCAGCAGCCCACGGACATTTACTCGCTCTCCCTCCCCCAAAGTGTAAGAGGACTCAATAACTCGTGGTCCTGAGTGCCTCCTGTTGTTCAGGCCATAACTGACTTACGGCAGCGGTAACTGCCTCACTCTTCCAGGGGCTGCAGAACCAATGGCCAGCAGTGGCCAGGACATACATGAGTGACATTGGCCGGGCGTAAAAAAATTTTTTGATATCAGTATGGATTCAAGAAATAATTTAACTTTCCTCTTAACTACCAAAGGAGAAAAGCAGCACAAAAATGGTGATAAATGGACACTGACCTTCAGCCTCAGTGTGCAAGGGTCTGATGGGAGCATGAAAGCCATGCACCCTGGAGACGGGCGTGCTATCTGGAGGGAGCAGCTGGTCCTCGCTCCTGCTGACTGCTGCTGGGAGGAACTGCAGTCCTGGGATTTGTTGCCAGATCTTGTTTTTCAAGGGAAGCAAGAATCTGGATTTTTATATGAAATCTCTCACTTTACAGTGTTGGCAAGTAGATTACTTTTTAAAAAAACATGTAGGTGAAAAAATATGGCCCACACTGGAGGCTGCTCTTTGGTAACTCCTGCAGTTAGGACGTACTTATTATCATTGTGGTTGTATCACCTTGCAGCAATATGAGTGACAGAGTGGATGTACCCATCATCATTTTGTTGAAACTTCACAGATAGACTAAATTAAAAAATTTTTTTAATTCAATTTTTTTTCTATTTGTGCCACTGCCTGTGGGAGAGGCGTGTGTGTGTATTAATAATTAATACTCTTACTTGGTTAAAAAACCAGAAAAGGTGTACAGGGCAGTCTCCTTCTGTCTGTACCCCATCTGCCTCATTTTCACCTGTCTTTCAGGATCTCTTTTAGGCAAATCTCTTTCCCCCTCTCGTAATCAAAAGGCAGGATCGTTTATATATTGCTCTGGACCTTGTCTTGTTCCCGTGACAGCATAGCTTAGCGGTCTTTCCTTCTCAGGACCTTCAGTGTTTCTTCGTTCAAGATAATCAGTGAACTCGGATCCTGAGCTTGTGTTCGTCTGCATGGCTCTTGAGTAGTTTCAGATGCCTTGCTCTTACCTAACAGTAGCCTGTACGTTTTGTTTGGCAGGGGCTGTGCGAGAGAACGTTTAAGCGTCTGTACCAGTACATGCTGAATGCTGGCCTAGCAAAGGTGGTGTCTCTTCCCTTACAGGAGATTCACCCTGAACGTGGACCTTGTAAGACAAAGAAAGGTAAGGGCGCTCTCAGCCTCTGTCCCTGGGCTGCACGGACGGCCCTCACTTCTCCCCACTAAGCTCCAGCCTGTCTCCCGTATCACGTTCTGCCTTGCAGTGGGATGGTTTCACGTATTTTGTCAACTCCTTAGTCCTCAGTGCCTGGCTCAGGACCTTGTGTATAAAAAGTGCTCAGGAAGTGTTTGCTGAACGAAAGCTGCGCTACCTTCCAGCAGACGTCTCTCTGTGGGTGGCCCGCCAACATCTCAGATTCATGGTGTCCCAAAACACAAGTTCATCTTCTCCTCCTTATGCTGAGCCACTATTCAGTCTTCAGCCAGCATTTCTTAAGTGCCTAAGCCATGTTGTATGAGCTCCTTATCCAGCCCTGCAAGGTGGGTGGTAGTGTCACCATTTCACCCGCAGGAGTGTTAAAGTTAGGAGATGCCAAGTGACTTACACAGGTTAAGCAATCAGTAAGCGGCAGAGGTTGGATTTGACCCTGCGAAAGAAGTTAAGCTAAGGGCAATAGACTGTGAAACTTTAAAACCTTCCTTAGTCCTTTGTTTTTCTCAATTCTTGATTTTTATCCCATGCTGTTTACCCCCTTGTGATTAGCCAAAGTCATTTGAAAAGCTGAGGGTCAGAGCTTTCAGTAAAAGATGATAGATGGAATATATGCATTTGTCTGCACTTTTCCCCAGATCCTCCTTAGTGATGATGAGGGATATAAAAGGAACAAATCCACAAGTACAAAGAGAACAGGACAGGAAATGTCAGTAGAGAGCATCATCAGCAACGATTTGGTGCTCAAAGGCGGATGGACAAATGGTAACTGACTGAGCAGACTGCGAAAGCTAAATGCCAGTGAGGGCAATAGCCAAGAATTGACACCTCAGACCTGAAATAGACTAGAAATTTGGAGGTTCCAGTTACCTTTGAAAGCACATGTGTGGGTGGGGCTGGCGACAAGAGGATTGCTTGATAGTCTGTGTGAAAAACCGTTGCACCCCTGAGTCTCTGTCCCTGCTTTGCATAGCCGGGGAAGAAGCCCTTTTGCACAAAGACAGAAGTCTGGGTTTATCTCAAGAGAAGCTATGCACTGGAGGGTTTCTAGACTCACAGACATGAGATCCAGCTGGGGACAGGGTGCTGAGCTGAAAATGGGGGTTATGTGACAATCTCCATACACTAAAAGGTGACGGTCCCCTCGCTACATTTTCGGTTTGGCTCCTAGAATGCTAGCAGCCAGGCGTACAGTTCCCTAGGCCAGAGACTGGAGGCTTCTTTTCTGCAGAAACTGACTAGTCCAAGAGAAGTCCTCTAGAGACTGAAACTTGGGGGTTTCCCAACACAATAGCTGGCCCCTGCCTGCTCACCCTTCATAGAAGCCCACACAATGGCAGCCTCTCCTTCCCTCTTCCCTACCCTGCAAAACAGCCAAAACACAGGGCTTTGCAGCAGCATTTTAAAGCTTCACCAAACACTTGAGAACTCTATTATGAATGTAAGAGAAACAAACGAATTTAGGAAACAGAAACAAAGTGAGAAGCAGAAGAAAACATAAAAGAATCCTCAAAGAGAGAAGAGATGATATTGTATCCCTGAAATCAGAGAAAGAGGCTGTAAAGGAGGGACATGCAGAAAATAAAAAAGAGCTCTTAGAAATCAAAGGAATATGACTATCACAAGAGAAGATTTAGTGGAAGGGAAGATAGTAAGATAAAGTTGAGAAAATTTCCCAGAAAGAACAGAAACTCAAAAGAGATGGAAAATAGGAAAGCTAAGTTGAAAGGAAGAGGTTGAGCTTAAAAGGTCCAACATCCACACGGTAGGGTCCCCAGGGGGAGAGGGAATGTGTGCAGAGGAATAGGAGGAGAGGAGGGGAAATGACACAAGGAATTTTCCCAGGTGTGAAGGACATAAGTCCTAGATCAAAAGACCTATCCGGTGCCCAGCATGATCAATGTAAAGAAACCACATCAAGATCCAAATTCCTGAGACTCCAGACATCTGGGGCTAAGAGAGGAGACATCGGACTTCCCAATAGTACCTGACACTGGAAGACCTTGGAGCAACGCCGTCAACATTCTGAGGGGAATGGACTTCCAGTCTGGGATTCTTTTTCCACCTTTAGCAGGTGTGAGAAGAAGGACAGTTTCTTCTGAAACAGTTCATCTCCCACCTCCCATGTTCCCTTTTAGGAAGCTACAGGGGGGTGGACACCATCAAATGACAGACTAAGCCAAGAGGCAGGAAAACATCGGGTCCAGGAAGCAGAGAGGACAAGGAAAACCTTGGGCAGATGACGATGGAGAGAGAGATCATGATGACAGGCTCCAAGAGCAATCCGTCCAGATGGGAGTAGGGAAGAGGCCTCCAGGAGGGATGGAAGTCCACGCAAAGCATCAGTTGCCTAGTGCATGTGAGTGTGTCTAGGGAAAGTTGTACTTTGGCAGAGAGTCTGAGTGTGAATTAGTGATAGATCTGTAGAAAACCAAGCAAATGGAAAAGAATGAAGTTATAAACTCCAAGGGACACCAAAAGGTGTAGAAGAAAAAAAGCTTAGGGCCTGTTTGCCTGACTTTGTGGGCATAGCAGGTAACCTGTGGAGACTGGCTTCATTACCACAGCTCAGGAGAGTGTGTGCTGAATGAGGACAGACCACTGCACCCACGACATAGTTCAGTGCCCACAGGAGGTGGGCAGTTGTGTTTGTTGAGTGACTGAACCGTCGGTCTGAGGGACTTTATTTCCTCACTTAGCTGATGGAATCACTGCCCACCCTGTCTGGCTTCCCTGTGTCTGAGAAAAGTCTTGTGGAGAAGATGGTAACACACAGATCTTACCATACGACAAGTGTATAAAGAAAGGAAGGAGCACCTGGGAGGTAGGGACGCCCCCCTAGAGTGACCTGTCTTTGAGTCCCTTCAGTGCTGGGTAAGTGCGTTAACTGGTTGAATGACTGGAATTCCTCAGGGGAAAGAGTGGGTGGCATCAGCCTTTAAGTCGACAGGAAGCCGGTAAACTTGGCTGACTTACTTAACCAAGTTAAGTCAACTTCCTGTCGACTTAAAGGCTGCTGGGTGCTGTGGCAGGAAGAAAAGTTTCCAGGAACTGAGGGGTGTCCTGGGGACTTGACTATTAGAGGCTCCCCAGCATTTGACTTGGAAGTATGATTATCTGAATGCTTAAAATAGTAATGACCTGGGGATCTATTAGTCATTTTTATTTCCCGATTTATTGGAAGAAAGGCATTAAAAATAAACAGGCTGGAGTAATTTTAATTTTAAAGTAAAGAGAAACTAAGAAGGAAATAGCATTCAAGAACGTTTCTTGCTGGGCAGGCAGCCATGGAGCAGAGCTCCTCCCAGGCTTGAGGCCACTTGACACTACAGTCCCCGGGAGTGGACTTGGATATGAGACAGCCCCGGGTTAGAATTCTTGTCCTCTCACTTCCTGTTGGGGTGACCTGCAGCACGTTTTGACCTCTCTACACCTCAGTGTTTTCCTCAGGATTATCTGGGGATAATAATACAACTTTGCAGAGTGTTGTGGGGCTTCAGGAGACAGTGTGCACAGAGCAGGGCCACACACTGGTGATGGACACATCAGGAGCGTATTTTATTTAGCTCACAGTGTTTGTTTTCATTGAATTAGTTGCTGATATTTAAATTTTTTTTTTTTTTAATTTTATTTATTTATTTTTCCCCCAAAGCCCCAGTAGATAGCTGTATGTCATAGCTGCACAGCCTTCTAGTTGCTGTATGTGGGACACAGCCTCAGCATGGCTGGAGAAGCGGTGCGTCGGTGCGTGCCCGGGATCCAAACCCGGGCCGCCAGTAGCGGAGCGCGTGCACTTAACTGCTAAGCCACGGGGCCGGCCCAGTTGCTGGTATTTAAAAATCAGAAATTTCAGGGGCCGGCCCAGTGGTGTAGTGGTTAAGTGCACGTGTTCCGCTGCGGTGGCCTGGGTTCGGATCCCAGGCATGCACCCATGCACCGCTTGTCAAGCCATGCTGTGGCAGCGTCCCATATAAAGAAGAGGAAGATGGGTATGGATGTTAGCCCAGGGCCAATCTTCCTCAGCAAAAAGAGGATTAGCGACAGATGTTAGGTCAGGGCTGATCTTCCTCACAAAAAAAAAAAAGGGAAGAAAAAGTCAGAAATTTCACCTAAAAAGTCAGCCTTCCCACTTGTAAAAATGAAATTAGGCAACATTGAGCTGCATTTCTTTAATAGCAATTGGCTGGGCAGAGAGGTGCTGCCCTGTTTCTATGGAGCCCACCTTCCCCATTGACCAAGGACACCCTGCTTCTTCCTGCTGTGTAGCGCACAGCGGGCTTCACCTGGCACGTTGTCCGCCTGACCCTTGAAGGTGTGTCCATGTCACACAGTGAGTCATCCTAGTTTTCTTGAGGCCTGTACTGGGAAGAGAAGCTCTTGACAAGAAGGGTCAGGATGACTCAGAGCACAGACTGGGTACTAAGGGTAGTGAGGCTTGGGCTCCTTATTGGCTCCTTATGGGATTGTCACCCAAGACGATGACAATCAGAATTTTTAGATTGTTGCGCACACACACACAGTGAGCCCATTCTGACTGTTCAGGAGGCTCATCTCATTCCCGCCTCTGCTGCTCAGGCTCATTGTTAGGCTTCCCTTGTCCATGTCCCGTGTCACACTGTGTCTCCCTTATTTATCTGTGTGACTTTTTCCATCTAGGTCATGAGCTCCTCAAGGGTTGTGGCAGCACACCTCGTACTTTCTCTCCTTAATGCCTGTGCAGTGTCTGCTTGGAACAGAGTAGGTGCTAAGTAAATGTTTAGCAAATTTAATTTAATTAGGTGCCCCTTCAGTTACTCTCCTTGTGCAGGAGACAAGGGATGAATGCACAGTTTGTCTTTTTTTTTGCCTTGAGCTTTGTCATCCCAGTTTGCAAAATTAACATAAAACCTTCCCTCTGAGGCATTATGGAGTAGACAAGGCTTAAATAATAAATAAAGATGATGTATTACTTC